TTCACAGGATCACAGTTGGGAAACTGATCTAGAAACAAATATAGCACTCACCTAATGTTAATGAAACAACAATTTAATTGATAACTCAGTCTTAAGAAATTACTATGATTGGGGCATTTTAAAAAAAGTCTTCTGTCAAGGCATAAAGCTTTTGACAAATAGGATAAAAGCCATATAAATCACCAAATCACTAGGCATTATCAATGAAAGACATCTAACATGCTTACCCTGGCAACTACATTTTTAAAAAAAAGTACTCATGTCAGCTACCATTCTCACAAAAGCAGCATTTCAAATAACAGGTGAGTAGAAATAACTACAAAAACATCTAATTTATTATTAGATGGTTTCCCTATCTCATCAACTATGAAAGAAAAGCAATATGACATTTTCTCCCCTAACATTTATGCCACTATTCAATCATTAAATGGGAGAAGCAAAAGGTGGATGATGTGAAATATGACATTTCTTCAGCTTTTAGATAATTAGCAATGACTTTTAACTCATCACTTACCAAAACGGGAAGACATATTTGAGTATTTGTCAGTGGTAAATCTAGCATAGGGGTTCTTAACTTATTTTTTAAAAAAATATTTTTATAACAGTATTTCGATAGAACTGGTTTCTTTTTCAATGCTATGCATTTTAATTTATGTATCTGAAACCATTATTCTCAAAAGGGGTATCCATAATCATTACAAGACTTCCAAAGGAATCCATGACACAAAACAATAGTCAAAACCCCTGATCTAGGGGTATCAATATTACTTTATGTTACATTTAAAAGATAACAAAGTGTTAAAACATTTCATGCAGTATGGAAAGCTTTTCTAAGCAACCATGTTAATCTACAAAATTAACAACTGAAGACTGAGTGAACAATTTAACTGAAATAATCAATCATAAGGCTGAAAAGACTACAAAGCAGTATTAGATTAGAGAAGCACAGAAGTTCACATTCCCAGAACGGTATGGAATACTGTCGAAAGGCCTGTGTGACACAGCAGTAGACTATTATCATTAGCATCTGAGATACCAATCAGCAGTATCACCACAGAATAGAATAAATGTAGAGTGGAAATTATTAAATAAAAAGGTGAAAAATCATGTTTATTACGCTATCCTACCAGTTTAGAATGCTGATAAAGCAAATTAATATTTTAAACTGAGGCCTAAAATTGAAAGGTTAAATGACCAGACACTGTCTTCTCTCATGTCCCTTGTGGACAAGAGAAAATTACAAATTCTTAGACATCTGTCTAGGGCTCTTCCATCGTTGATTTCCTGGTGTGACTTGGAGCAAGTCCCTTCACCTCTTTGGACCTGAGTTTCTGTATCTATAGAATTAGAGGTCAAGGGAGTTGACTGCTAAGATGTCTTTTAGCTTTGGAACACTAATTTCTATGATTTTGTTGTGGTTCATAGCATCTACTAATACACATCAGAATTTAAATCAATCCAACATTTATTAGTCACCTATTATGTGCATTGTACTGTGTAACTGAAAAAAGACAAAAGTGTTTTCCTTGAAGGAGTTTATATTCCAGTAGGAGGGACAAGACACCTATGAGAATAAATCATGTTATAAAGGCATAGAAATCAAGAGTGGGATGACAGATTCAAGAAGGAAGCAATCATGTACATGTGGGAAAGTTTTATTGAGGAGGTGGCACTCAAGCAGGACCTAAAGGAAAAAGATGGGCCGGTATGTGAGCAGACCATTCAAGGATCAAAGAACACAACATGCAAAGACACAGAAGTGAGGAAGGTAGGAACAAAATAGGGACTGGCTAGTGGTCCTGTTTTGGGACAGAAGAGTGATGTGGTCCAACACATGACTTAAGATCACTTTGGCAGTCATGGAAAGGATAAACTGAAGAGAAGAAGCAGTCAGTCCAGCTAGGAAGCTATTACAATACTCCAGGGGAAAGGTAATGAGGGTTTGAACTAGGGTGGCAGCAGTAGGAGTTGTTACTTATTGTGCTGTTCATTCCAGTTTTTGTTTACCCAATCCTTTTGTTGAAACCTGAGTTCCAAATACATAACTACCCCTCCAGCCTTACATATTATAAACATCAGTAGCATTCCATTTACTTATTACCACATTATACTTTACTCAAGATAACTAAGATAATCTTCTAGTTTGCCCTGTTTATTTCTTCATGCTTCCCAGAAGTGGATAAACAACGAAGCAAATTAATAGCCCTGTTAGCTCATGTTATGTAATACATCTTAGACAACCTTAATTTTCAGTTTATTCACACTTAATGAAATCAAAACAAGGATAAGAATAAACATGTTACTCGTAAAAGCATAAACTTAAAAAGGTTAAAAGGTCAATGTTTTTAACTTATATTTTACTAGAACTGAGCTAATTACTAGAACTGGTCACAAGATTACCAGTTGGCAAATTTTTACAAATGTATTTCAAAGAATAGTCTTGGTTATTTAGTATTTTAAGAACTTATGATTGAATTAGTTTGGGTATTTTTTTCATTGACAGACCACAACCATTTAACATCTTAGCAGATGGTCTTCTTGACTTGTTATGGACAAAGCAAAGATTGGCCTGGTGGCCAATCTTCTAGTGATAAGCTTTTCCCAAAATAGCTAGGTTGCTCTTCAAATGGCAGATATGATAGTCCAGGAGTGGGGAACCTGCAGCCTCGAGGCCACATGTGGCCTTCTAGGTCCTTGAGTGCAGCCTTTTGACTGAGTCCAAGTTTTACAGAAGAAATCCTTTAACTAAGGGGATTTGTTCTGTGAAGTTTGGACTCAGTCAAAAGGCCGCACTTGCCACATGTGGCCTCGAGGCTGCAGGTTTCCTACCCCTGCTATATCACATGCTTTTCATCTTTTAAGCTTGGTAGGACCCATACAGTACACTCTGCTGGAACATTCTTCAAGCATTTCGCCTTCATGGGGCAGGTAGGTGGTGCAGTGGATAGAGCACTGGCCCTGGAGTCAGGAGGACCTGAGTTCTAATTTGGCTTCAGACACATAACACTTACTAGCTGTGTGACCCTGGGCAAGTCATTTAACCCCAACCGCCTTGTCAAAACAAAAAAAAATAAGAATTTCACCTTCATGCCATGATGGAATACTGAAACCTTGGCTACAACCTAACATCAATCTCTTGACTGGTTCCCAACAGAGAAAGACATTTGCAAACTGCCTTCATGAAAAAGAAAAATAAGAATTCTAGCATCACGGGTGATTCTGTCCTTATCTAATCTAGAAAATATGGGTACTTCTCTACTTCTTCCTTCTGAACCATAAGCATCTGAATAGAGACAACATAGGGAAAGAGCACGGTGCAATGGAAAGAATGGTAGATTTGGAGTCAGAAGACCTAGGCTCTATCACTTACTATCTAGTCAAGTCACTCTTCCCTTGGCCCCAGTTTCCTCATCTGTAAAATGAGGATGTTGTACTAGATTCTCTCTAAGGTTCATTCTAGTTCTAAATCTATGATCTTATGAATATGTCATATACAGAAATGAAAACTTCACAGGAATGATAACTGACAATTACACAGTGTTATGAAGTTTGCTATGTATTCTAAATATATAATCTCATTTAAGCTACTAACAATCTGAATGCAGACTCTCACCACATTAGGGCTACCTTATGGATCTTAAATACAGAATAATGTTTTGAACTCTCTTGAAAATAGGAATCTGTGTCGGCTTAATACAGGGACCTCATAGCTAGGTAACTTCATAATGCTCTCCACCTTTTGTCTAAAAGAGAGAATGGCAAGAGAAAAAAACAGAGACTCTTAGCAAAAAGCTTCAGGGAGTCCACAAAAACATTAGCCTTCTAGTGCCAGAGATGGTGGTATACTCCCTCAGAAGAGATCTTCCAGCAAAAGCTGGATAAGCAGTGTGTAAGACGGAATTTCTCATTGGGTATAGGCTGGATTTGATAGCCTATGAGGTACCTTCTAACACTTGAGATTATGCAAAAAATATTAAGCACCAGTATTTATTTGTATTTCTCAATCGGCTCAATTTTAGGAATGACTAGTTGTTCCACAGAAACACAGATAATGGAACATCAACTACAGTTTGAGGCATCACTCTCTCTAGTAAACACATACAGACACAAAGAGACAAACAGTCACATACACACACCCTTATAGTGGCCAGACAAAATATTAAACAAGGAATATAGTTCCCTACTTCGATTAGTGTTGATCTTTTAAAATAAGTTATGTGAGAAATGACTAAAATTATGGAACTTAACCAACAGCAATGTGAGGTTAAAATGAAAAATTTCTACTGCCCTTTTAAAGAGATCTCAGAATAATACCCAATTAGAATCTCAAAGATCTTCATGTCTTACATTCATGTAACACATTCATGTATTATTACAGCTCAACTCTCCCACAGAATAAGCAGTTTGCTTTCACTGAAACAATACTAGAACACTAGACTCAGCCTGAGAGGCTGGGACTGGACTTTTAAAAACTTTTTTAAGGTCTCCATTCATGAAATATTAAAACCTCATGGAAGACCTCACATGTGTTGACTTGGTCTCCCGTGGAGAATTTCTGGGAAGATATGGCCACAATCACAGGATGACAATGCTAGAGCTGAAAAGGACCTTAGGAGCCAGCTGGTCTAATCCTCTTGTTTTACAGAGGAAGTGGGGGCCCAGAGAGCCAAGCTAACTTGCCCTAGGTCAAAAAGCCAGAAGTGGCAGAGCCAGGACTCAAAATGAGCTCCTCAAACCCCAAAACGAACCATCAGGACAAGTTGGGATGCAAGTTGTACCACTGACAGGAAGGTCCACATCAGCAGATCCTTGATCTCATCCAAATACCAAAGTATTTATGGTAGAAAGTTTTGTTTCTACACTTAGGAGAAAGCCGCAAGATACTCTGAAATAAGAGAACCTCAACAGGCTAATATTAGGCCTATACTACCAAGTTAAAAAAAATCTATGTGCAACAACTTTTGAGATAAGAAAAAACTTGAGTCATCAAGAATACTTACATGGTAGGAATATGGTTCCCCTTCTTCCATTGGCTCAACCATTTTAAGACCATTCAGCTGAAAAACACATTTTTAAAAATTGAAGTTTCACAGTATTAATTTAAAAATAAAACCACTTAGAACAAAGATATAATTCTCAAAGGCATTACACTTTACAACTTGATGAGATTAATACCTACCAAAGCACAAACAAAAGGCCATGGAGCTAAAAAAAATTATGATGAAAACAACGCTAATCAAAGACGCTGAGAGGTTTTCCAGGAGAACTGATTTCAATAGCCTTATAATCCATTTCAAATCATACTGTGTAGACTTTTCCTATTAAAGTCAACAATATGTAATAATTAACTAGAAATATATGACCTATGCTGTAAGAATTATAGCAAGATGGAGTTTTTTCAAACAACTAATTACTTACTGAGTTCTATTCAAGAGTGCCACTACCCAAATACCTGATGAGAAAATGAAAATGGAAAATATGCTACAGAAGGTACCTATTCCAAAATGTATTCAAAAGAAATCAGGTTAGGAAGAGTTTTATACACTTAAACTAGTCTGGATTTCTCCCTTTTCACTATATTCAATTAAATGTTATGATAATATACCTAACAAAGCAAGCATGGGAAATAGAAATAACTGGTCATGTTAACAAAATTGTTTAGGTAAACAAAGCTTTACCTAAGGCCTATTAGACCCGAAGATTTTTATATCTGAGAATCAAACAGATGATACCAGTAACACAAAGTCTACAAAATGAGACAATTCACAATGGCTCTGACCTAAGAAGAGTTAACTGGCTATTTGCCAGAAAAATTATTTTCTATATTTACTAAACATACTTGTTCTAAAGGATTCAAGGTCCAATATATACCAAGAAAGGTTTAACTACTCACTGTTAAATATTTTACTCTGTTACTTAAAATGAAACCCAACTTGAAGGGTGATTTGTACTATAGAAACTCCCACAATACAAAGGGACACTTTCAGTTTTTAACTAACATACCTCCTTTTAGAATACCATGGCAAACCAAAGTCAAAGTAGATAATTTATTCAGTCCACTACAGTAACTGGAGAGAAATTTTTAAAGCAATTATCACAACACTGCTACCTCTGTGCATTTTTATATACTCTTTTCAATAAAAAGATAAAATACTATCCCATTTCTTCCTTATCCCATCTTCCAGACAAAATAAGAAATGTTTTGACCCATAAAGCATAATTTCAAATGAGCCTTTTTGAAAAAGATTTTAAGTTTTACTAAAAGGGTGCCTAAAGGTATACAAACTTAATATTGTATTTACTCGAAACTTCTTTGTTACCAACTCTACAGAAGCTGACACAAAACACATTGGACTGAAGGAAAACCATCATCATTCATGAACCAGGAAGATCCTGGAATAGTTACTTCAATAAGCATTTCTAAAGTGCATATACACAGATAACACACTAGACTATGAGGGATACAAAGGAAGGTGTTAAGTTCTTACTTCATCTACAAATATTAACAGAAAGAGGAATCACTCAGCAATTTGATCCAGATATATCAAAATCTTGTCAGCTCTGTTGTACAATGGAATTCTTTTTTTGTTCTGTTAAGTTTGGATTCAGTCAAAGGGTCACACTTGAGGACCTAGAGGACCACATGTGGCCTTGAGCCTGAAGGTTCCCCACCCCTGGTAAGATGGCCAACTCTGAAAGTATGACTTGTGTGGAACTACAAATAGAAGGTCCAGATAACTGAAGTTGTACTATATAATCAGCTCTTTTCACTACCCACAAGGAAGGCCAATATTGCTCTCTTTTCTGTTGACGGAACTCCAACTGCCCTGTTCTTCAAACCCAGTGTTGACTGACTCAACATGAAGCTACAGTCCTGAAAAACAGGAGGAAAAATGAATCAGAGATTTAAGGAGGTCCCTAGATCCTGGGATCATGTACTAACTACCAAGAAAAACCTATTAAATCAAAGCACTTACTTTCATTTTATCTACCCTCAAAAGATGTGTGCCCATCAACACTAAAAACTATATAGAACACTATACTGGATAAGGGGAGGGATTTGGAGATTTTTTTAAAGGGAAAGGAGAACATCTACTTACAGAGAGTTTAAATCTAAGTGATGGGACCCTTCCCTTACCTCCTCCCAACACATACACACACACACACACACACACACACACACACACACACACACACAGAGCCTATGAAACAAAACATAAACAAGCACAATTGACCACAAAGCTCCTGAGAGGACACAGATTAAAAGATATCTGAGCTAGGTCAGGTTAATAAAGGGAAGTTTCCAGTAGGCGCTAAGTTTTGAACAGGATTTTGTAGGAAGTGAAGTTATGTGGATTGGGCAAAGAAGAACCAGCCTAAATTATAATAGTATTATCAATGTCAAAGAGACAAAATGAGGCAAGGGAAGACAGAATTCAAGACTAAGACAAGGAGAGCAAAGAGCAGAGGAGAACATGAACATGTGAGGCCAACTCTGCTCTATCTAAAACTTTCCACTGTCTCATCTGAGTAGATACTAGAATAAAGGTGAAAGAAGGAAATGGTTTGGCTGGAAGGTAGGAAGAAATTGAATAGTTTTCAGGCTACAACTGAGTCAGTAGTTGAAAATGCTTTTTTTTTTTCACTTCAAGGAAAAGTTATCATTAAATGGCATATTCTTATTAAATATTCCGGCCAAATGAGTTTCTGTAAACATCATACATGTATTGCTACCAATAGAATACCAACCTACATGATTCCCCTTCATATATTCTACAGTTCAGAATAAAGGGCCTTCTTACTGTTCTTCACACATGATGATTCCCCCTCTCCCCAACCTCCACTTCTCCCTCTTAGAATTCCTCATTCCTTTCAAAGATTGACTCAAGTGCCATCTTTAACGTAAGGCCTTTCTTGATCCCCCTAGATGCTGGTGTTTGCCTCTACCCATTGCAAATAACCTTGTTATTCTGTATATAATTATGTTGAGTCTATACTATCTCAGATAGAGGGCAGCTAGGTGGCGCTGCAGTGGATAGAGTTCCAGGCCTACAGTCAGGAAGACTCATCTTCCCGAGTTCAAATGGGGCCTCAGACACTTAATAGCTGTGTGACCCTGGGCAAGTCACTTCACTCTGATCGTCCCAGTTTCCTCATCTGTCAAATGTGCTGGAGAAGGAAAAGGCAAACCTCTCCAGTATCTTTGACAAAAAAACCCCAGATGGGGTCACGAAGACTCAGACATGTTTGAAAAATGGATGAACAACAACAATCTTTGATAGAATGTAAACTCCTTGTGGGAAGGGACTTTTCTTCTGTCTTTATTTCTAGTACTTACCACAGTACTGGCACATAGTAGGTACATGATTAATTATCTATCTTCGTGTGTATAGAACCAATACTTAAACCATACTTTTATCTCACATAATATTTATTAATTTCCTACTATGCATAAGATACTTCGTAAGGTATAAAGGAAAATATATAAATGAATAACAGCCTCTGCTTTCAGGGAATTTATAATCTAGTAGAGGAGAAAACACATTCTATATTACACTATAATTATTTGTAAGTGATAACTGCCATAAGAAAGGTGGTATACCAAGTAGTAACAGGAATCCAAAAGAGAATGAAGACAAGAAAGAATAAAGAAATCAGGAAGGCTTCTTTGAAAGTATGATATTTGAACTAGGCCTAGGATGACAGAGACAAAATTTCAAAATGTGATGATGGAGAGACAAGTAAACTGATGGACACAGGAAAAGATAGGTTGTATTTGGTAAATCAGGGGAAATAAGGATGGAAAAGTAGGTTGGGTTCAAATTGAGGAAGGACTTTATCCTTTAGACAATGGGGAGCTACTGAAGATTTTTTTGAGCCAGAGAATGGCATGGTCAGAATTCTATATTGGGAGATTAATGTTGACAGTAGATATGTAGGACAAATTGGAGTGGACAAATATTAGAGACAAGAAGACCAATTAGAAAGCCACGCAGTAGTGGAGGTGAGAAATAGTGAGGGGCTAAACTAGGGCGGTAACTCTAAGAATGAAATAAAGGGAATGAATAAAGATGTGAGATAGAGTATAGTACAGAATTAACAAGTTTACCAGGAATAAAGAAGAGGAAGGGATCACAGAATTTCAGAGTGGAAAGGGACCTCAGTGGCCATACACACCAACAACTCATGTGCAAAAAGGAATCCCCACTATAACATACCCAACAAGTGGTCATTCAGCCTCTGCCTGAAGGCTTCCGATAAGGGAGGAAGTCATTACTTACCAAGGCAGTCCATTTCACTAACAAGTAAACTAATGTTAGGATGTTTTACCTGTCACCAGACATAAATTTACCTCTTTGTAAGCTGTGGTTCCTGATTCTGCCATCTAGGACCAAACAGAACAAAATGTAATGCCTCCTCCAAATGACGATCCTTCAAATACAACTATTATGTTTCCGGGTCTCCTCTTTTTCAAACTAACTATCCCTGGTTCCTTCAAATCAATCGTGATGTGACATGGACGCAAGGTTCTTCACCATTCTGGATAACTTCCTTTGGACATTCTATAGCTACACTTCCTAGATTGTGGCATCCAGAGCTAAGCATGAATTACTAGATATAGTCTGACCAAATCAGAGCACAAAAGGACTATCACTGAACTGTAACATTGCCTCCTCAGTCCTGGAAACTGTGCCTTCTCTGACAGTAGAGTGGAAAGATGCTGGATTTGGAAGGATGGGAACTTGTTTCCAATCCTATCTCAGTCACTTACTACTATGGATGTAGGACCTCGAACAACCCATTTGAGTTATCTGGATGTTAGTTTCCTCATCTGGAAAATAGGGGGTTTGTTCTTTGTGACCTATGAGGTTCCATCTCTAAATCCATGGTCCTATGATTCTATATGTAATGAACTGATTGGTCATGAATCCTCTGGTATGTTTTATATAAGAGGAAAAAACAGGCGAGTTAGGTGAAATGTTCCTCAAGAAGCAGATGCCAGGAAAAAGCAAGTTGAGACACCCCCACAACAAATGGGCTCAAACTGGGAAG